TGTAGGGTGTGGAGCCCCACAATCCCTCAGCTGCTACACTACTGCACAAAACTGGACGTGCATGCATGTGCATGTTTTAATGAATACTTGTTGATTGAATGATGAGGCTTTATTATCTACTAATAGATAAAAATGAGATATGGGATGAAGAAAGTTTTGGTTGAACTGTTTGAGAATGTAGTAAGTTATTGACTTGTCTTGATGAAGGGGAAATTATTTCTTTATATATCTTTTTTTCTTTAAATTTTTACCTTTCCCCCTTTCCCCTCTCTACACTTTTTATTTTTTATATTTTTCTCATTTTGTATTAGCTTTTTATGTTTGAATTTTAATTTCCAATAACAATTATTATAAAAAAGATTATTTAAACCCTAAGTAATGCTCCAACAGCAGCTACAATTTATTTCTATGAGGAAGGTAAATACTACTTTTTGTATTTATCAAGTTGTTTGATCAATGGAAAAAATCCAAAATATATACTTAATATCCTAAACATCATTATGATACGATTTAAAAAAAATGTTTGTTGAGAATCATGAATGTTCCATGAAGCTATATTTGTAGAGTGAGATTCTGAAAGAAATGGGATTGAGAGGACAATTTGATACACTGAGGCCTAAAACTAATAGACAAATTTATCAAAATTATACAAAATCCTGAAATCAAATGTGAACTAGTCAGAATAACCCAGTATCTTGGCTACAGCTCTGCTGACACTTTCATTGCTGTGTGATTCTTGGAAATAAGAGGAAGGGGGGGGGAAGAGGGAGGAAAAAGCAAAATAGTGATTTGGGGGACACAAAGTAAAGAAAATGTAAACAACTGTATGCCCTGGAGGGAACTTATCTTAGCAGGTGATGGTAGTAACACAGAAGTTTCTTTATTTGCATTCTTTTCTTTTAAAACTAATTGCTTTGCCACCATTTGCCACCACAGAATTGCAAAATAGTATCCCAGTGGGTTGTAATTTCCCTTTAATGGTTTCTGGAAGGCCTCTACATCTGTGCCATAGGGTTAGCTCAGTCCTTTCCTAATTCTGGAGAAGGGAGAGCTGAGACTGAAGTAGTAAAATGGCATGCCTACTAAACTTATTAACAAATTGTGTTAAAATGTTATTCTTAAGCTGATATATTCATTCTTGTATTGTCTTAAAGCAAGAATAGGAAATCATATGTGGCCTTCAAGGCTCTTTATTCTCCACCTCCCAAAGGATTACATAGCTTTTTTCCCCACATGATCGGTCCAAGTAACATCAACAGCAAGAGTTTGTTTAATTGCAGTGAATAATATGAAACATTGTCTTTTGGAATGGGGGTCTTTTACTTATCATCTAGCAGATGGGGGGAGAGTCACAATACAGTATCTTTCAATGAATTATACTTCCATGTTGAACAATATCATTCTTGCACTAACCAGCAAGATTATCAAGAGTCTCACTGAGGCGATGGAGATAATGATAATTCATGAAGATAATTAGTATGCCTTGCTAATGGAGGCTGTGCAAACTTTATTCTAGCCTTAGTCTAGATCAGGGGCCTTCAAACTTGGCAACTTTAAGACTTGGGGACTTCAACTCCCAGAATTCCTCAGGCAGTCATGGGAGTTAAAGTCCAGAAGTCTTAAAGTTGCCAGATTTGGAGACCCCTGCTCTAGATAAAATAATTCTAATATGGATCCTATGGCTGTAATCAGAACTGAACTGGAAGCATAACTGCCACTTATTCTTGAGTTGCATCATTCCTCCATTTCTTCCTTATGTGAAAGATTTTCAGCAAAATATTTCCTAACTGTTCTTAATTTTTGCCTCCTTTGGCCATGAATGTGTTTGGAGAGAAATGTCCAAAGAAATCAGAAAGAGTCCGGTACCACCTTTCAGATTACTATTAAAAGATGTATCCTTTTACTGAATTACAGCCACATGTATTCCAGATAAATGCATAATATAGATGAATAAATTTTCTACTCCTATTAACTATAATTCAGGTATATTGTAAAATGTAAAATAAATAAAATAATACTAAGGATAGGTATAATCACCTCTTATTTATAAAAAGAGAACAATCTGGTCCCAATGGGATGCCTGAAGTCTGTGAAGCCAGTATTTACTCCCAAGGAATCTAATTGACATTTTGGTTGCTTAGCAACTTCAGGGATAACTGAATAAAAATATTTTGATTTCCTTCAAGTTTAGCTTTTGCTCAGGGATTTCAACAAGAGGAATATTATCTCTTAATAGCCAAATGCAATGAATTTGTTCACACAATTAGAATAGTTATAAAAACTATTGGGCACACTAGCACTTGAACCACTGATTTCAAGAAGGACCTAATTAAATAACAGAATTAAATAACAGAATGAACCATGCTAACTGGGAAATTATGCTACTGCTACCCTAATTATACAATAGAAAGTAAAATTGTCAGGAGGCATAAGGCTTGCCTTATAGCTTTCCTCCTCACATGTATTAGGTAACTTTATATGTATTAGTGTCACTCATAAATAGGATTCTACCATCAATAGATTCTATTCTACCTTGTCATGTCATTATTCAGTTATGTGTATATTTTGCATTCGTAGATGTGACCCAATGAATTAAACAGATAACAATTGATGAGATTTTGTTTCTAGTAATCCTCCCTTAAATTTAAGGGAACTCTAATCTTAAAAGCTGTAAATTAGGATTTTGGATCCCATGAGGAGAAACAAGAAGAGGATTACAGCAAAAGGTCTAAGTGATCTGAAAGTCTAAGTTTTTTTTTTGAATTATTTTGTTCTGATTGTATTCAGGATATTCAAATAGGACTGTAGTCAGAAATACTATTTTATTTAATTATTTGTCGATTGGGAGTTTTTGTAGATCACATTGAAATAAGCTGATTTTCAGGATGGTTCCTAACCATGATCATGCAAAACAACTAAATGTGCATATCATGACATCACAATGAAAACCCTGCCATATTGTCAAATATTGTTAACATTTGATAAATATTGGGCAGAAGTCAGAATATCAAATCTTCCTGATAGCACCCCCTTTTCTTCTGGAATCAGTACAAAAAGGTGATGTTAGTCTACAGAGTCACTTATAAACCTTGTACCTGAGTACCTAAGGAAACGTAGAGGCCTAGAGTTAGAAGGAACTAGATAGGCAGTTGGGACCAATCCTGTTGTTCAGTGAGGGGATCCAAATTAAAACATCCCAGCTGAACGGTTGATTCAACTCTGCTTGAGCTCAACCAATGGAGAGGAAACCCTGCATTGGGGTAATTCATTCCACTGATGAATTTCTCTTATCCTGCTTGCCATTTTTAATCCCAGAGCTGAAAAAAATTAGAATGTAACCCTCAATGCTTTCAACAATTAATTATAATGTGTTATTTTAGATATTGTATCACTTTTTGATTATGTTGGACTGAAAAATCTCCGGGCAGTGCTACTTTAAGCTATACTAGTAGAGAAATGATGGAATGTTTCTCCATGTAAATGAACAAAATTTTCCACAATAATGATATTCTAACCTAGTCTTTTCTTTAATATGCTAGTCTGTTATGTCTCTCCACGTTTTGCATATGAAGCAGTGATTTCACTTTTTCACTTCAACATGAATCTAATAAATACTTATTACATGAGTTATCAAATTGATATCTGGGGCATACTACACTTTTTATACAATCAGTTTCACAATAGCATAGTTATAGATTCAGCTATAAACACAGCAGTATGAGGAGGAAGAAAATGGGGTGGGGGGTCTTCAAAAGTAACAATGAAAACAAGTTTGGAAAAGAGGAGGTTATTAGAAATCCAGAAAGAAAGCCAGCGAGCAGCAAGCACATCATCACTTTGCTCTTTGGGTCCTGGGCCTAGTCTCTCCCCCCTCCTTTTCCCATAAATGCAAAGGGCAGGAAAAGAATGACAGCTAGGAAGAAAGGCAAAAGGTAAGAATTAATAAGGTTCCAGAGCTCTTCCATGGTGTTTACATTGCCGCTGCAATTTAGTGTTCTCCAATCTCCCAAATGCTTTGGGTCTCAAATTCCATTAGTTTCAACCAGAAAAATATCATCTACGGTATATTCAGAACCTCATTACACAGAGCTAGGAACTCCGTGTAATGTTTGTAATCCTCTTCCTTTTCTCACATGGTAATTATTGGAAAGTGTTCTTAGGAGAGGGGGAAAGTGAGGAATGGGAGGGATTTGTAGAAGCAAAACTGACTAAATGAAGAAGTAAGGAAAAAAAAAACCTTCAGTAACATTGTCTAGTGCTGTAAAAACTGGAGTTTCCTCAATATGATGTAGATATTCAAACTATTTTTACAGCATAGGTTATCCTGATATTACGTTTCTGTTTCTGTCATTCACAAAAGGAAAAACTACCTAAGAAATCCATAGAATTATCTATCAATAGAATATATGTAGCTCAGGGTTGAATGGGAGAGTTCTTGGTGGTTTTTGAGTTTGGCTGTTTGCTTGCAGATTTTTTGTGACCAGACTAGTTTACATCTCCAGTGCTCATTGAAATAGCTATGCTAGAAGAAACTAAAGCATATTTTTAGAATCTAGTAAAATGTTATCTGGCCTACTGAAGAAGAGACATACNATACCACCAGATAAATGGGTAGAAATTGTAGAATTACTATCTTACTGATAATCTTCAAGTTAAAAACCTTCAAGTTAAAAACTGGGTAAAGGGAAATTAAGACTCTATTTTATCTGGAAAGGAGAATTAAAAACGGAGGATTTTTTTTGTATTAATACGTTTTACTACTTATGTGTATCTTTCTATTCATTCCTGCAATCCATAGAAACTAAAGTTTAGAAAATTATTTTACACAATTCCTTATCTTGATATTTTCTGAAACCATATAAATAGCAGCTGATTTCACAAAAAGCAAAGAGCTCTGTTCAGAAGGGTCATAAGGCCCCATCCCCAGTAATAAGTACAGAGGAATTCCCATGGCCAAATGCACAAGCTACAATCATGAGTTTAAAAGATGTGATTCTTACCTTGTTTAAACTTCGTGCTGCACTGTCTTTTCCACCAGGTGTCAGGTTTCGAAGCTGCACATCCAATAACCCCACCAACTGGTCCATGGCACGAACTGAGTAAGTGATATCCCCTGCATGCAAGTGGCTTTTTGTTTGTTCAGCAAGTTCTCTAGCAACATTGGCAGCTGTCTCTCCTGATTTCAACTATGATTGAAAAAAAAGTGAAAACATGTCAAGATATTTTATGGACTAGCCTAAGAGAAATGTATGTTTCATGATGAGGGACCATTAAAAGCAGCCCAGCTGATACCAACAATAGCAATATAGCATTTTCGAAGTTTTGAAAGGGCTTGAAGCATTTCCTAGGCCATTATAATTCTTAAAACAAATGACTAAACTCAGTCATTGGAATTTTGGAATTCTGTATGAAATGTTCTTTGAATAGAATTCATGTCAAACACAAATGCTTTAAATATTAATAAAATCTACATGAGTTCCCTCAAGTGGCAGGGGCAATAAATTTTCCTGCTAGAACTGCAAGGGATATAATAATTTGTTGAAATAAAGCATATTCTGACGTTTCTGTACTGTAGATAGATACTGAAATCACAGTGGATCAGATTCTTAAAAAAATTCTTAAACACCAAATTGCTTTGCACAACATCTTCCCATAATTCAGAGCATACAATTTCTCTGTCAAAAAATGATCATTGCTAATCACATCAAAAGATGTCACATATGGAGAACAGGCAGGTGCTTTCCTCCCCATACATTTGTGGCATTCACCCATTTTAGACGGATCTTTTGTCCTTTGTACAGTCCTTTTTCACAAGGAGGACATCTTGATCTCTTTAGCTGTGTTGGTACAGCTTGTTTTAATCACAGGAAAGAGCTTTCTTATTTGTGTTGAATTTTTTGAATAATACAATATAATAAATAATACAAATTTTAATAATTGACAATTATTAAAACAACAATTATATTTCTTTTCATGCAAACTAATGAGCCATACACCTGAAAAAGTTGGACTAATCAATGCAAACTAAAAGAGAAAGAAGGGAAGTAACAGGAAAACCAATATCTCCATCTGGTGGCAGTATGTGACCACTTTTATCCTTATTGGGAATCATCAGACCTTCCTAGTCAGGTCTTTGTAGCCCTTCAGGGGATGGAAGTAATGTAAACCTCATACACAAGGAGCATGACATAAAGTAACATCTGTATGTCACTCTGAAAAGTTGACAGTATTGTATATACCATCCTGATACAAATTATTAAGAAGAGAAGAGTGACTTGAGATGTATAATAGCTACAACATTTATGTTCTGATTGGAAAACAGCTGGGCCATATGGAACAGATTTAGATTATCAGCTCTGTGATAACCAATGAGCAATTGCCTGTTGTAGCACTGCTTTGTTTAAAATAAGGACTAAGAAAGAAATAGCTGATCTATATTTTGAATAGAAAACTATACGAAATACTGGATTTTTTAAAAAAATATATTCTGGTTTTGGGGAAGAAAATGGATTGAAAAAAGTGTAAGTAAAACACATATCAAATATTTGTTTTTTAATAAAATGAAGTTGCAAAATACTAATGAGAATGCAATCGTATAGTTATTTATATGATATGCATCAGTGATTTCAAGTGGACTTATTTCTAAGTAGAACTAAATAGGATTGCAGCCTCAGCCAAGAACGATGAATCTGTGGTCTTCAGATGATGTTGAACTATAGCTCCCTATTTCTCTCTCTATTGATCATACTGACTGGGGCTTCTGGAAGCATCATTTGAAGATCATAAATTGGCTATCCCTGCTTTAAGGTATAATTTTTATGAAATCCATTGAACTGTGGACAGTGGCTTTATTTCACTGGGTGTTTTGGGGAAACTAATTGCTTTAAGAAATTAAAGAAGCCAAATCACAAAACATCAGGGTTGCAATGATCACTGGCAATGATCGCTGCTTAATTGAAAAAGAAGCAATGTGTAATATGTATTGAAGCATCCACAAGAGTGCTCAAAAGCAGTGTGACCAGGTGATTGAAGCTCATTTCCCTTTTAAGGTCTGTTCACACATCACACAGACATAAAAAAGGGGCAGAAATTCAGTTCCCTGATTGCACCTGCCATTTTATTGTCCCCTGTCAACAATCTCTGTGCCTCCAAAAACTGGGTGAAATGAAGGTCTTATATTTGGAGGCAGCTAAGAAATAGTGTCATTTATCCATAGAATAAAGGCAATTTTGATAGATATTGTAAATAATGAAAACACATAAAAATATAAAGGCAATAAAAATCTAGCATGACCAATGTTTGGAGACATAATCCCCAGAGCAATCAAATTAATAAAACTATTCCTCCCTTTTTTTTGAACAAGATAACACATCAATTATAGAATAAATAAAATATAAACTATTTTAAAATGAGTTATTAGAGGCTACTTTATACGAAACACTATAAAAATGTTAAGTCCTTGAAGAAAAAAAATCTTTAGAAGAACTTCTGCTCAGGTTTATTTCACAAATAATGGTATAGAGTCTCCTGCTTGAGCAGGGGGATTGGACTGGAAGACCTCTATGGTCCCTTCCAACTCTGCTTTTCTGTTATAAATAGTTTTAGCAGTTTTGTAAAACTTGAAAAAGATTTGAGAAAGTCTTTATTCATTTTATAATGTGAAACTAGCAATCATAACGTTTTAAAATTGAGTAATTAAATGACATTTCAATCCATTTTCTGAAAAGAAGATTAGATTACTTAATATAATGCAATTCTTTGAAACTGAAGCTAGTTTAATGTGGATAATTCCATTCCTTCATTTCTACCGGACAGAGTATGGGAAAAGATCCAAACAAAGCTGGAACTTTACTTTACTTTACTTTACTTTATTTTGATTTATATCCCGCCCTTCTCCCAACGGGACTCAGGGCGGCTCACAACATATTTAAAAACAGAAACATATTTACAATCCCCACCAAATAAAACCAATTAAAACCAAATATTTTAGAGTTGTGCTGTTTAAAATTTTCTAAAAAATGAACCCGATTTAAAATCCTCCCTAGGNATCTCGGGGGGTAGTTCGTTCCAGAGGGCGGGGGCACCCACAGAGAAGGCCCTCCCCCTGGGGGTCGCCAGCCGACACTGCTTGGCCGACGGCACCCTGAGGAGACCCACTCTGTGGGAGCGTACCGGTCTATGGGAGGGAATCTGTGGCAGAAGGCGGTCTCGGAGATAACCAGGTCCTGTGCCATGGAGCGCTTTAACTGAAAGTGTAAACATGTCCTTATTTAGTCATATTTATTTATTCCTATTTGAAGAGTTCTCACTTATTCACACACACTTGGTGGCCATAAGAGTCACTCTCGCTATCTTGAAACATGCAAAGCACTTTAGTTAAAAAACAGAATATTTTAAAACATTCATTAAATGAATAATCTCTGTCCATTAAGTACATTTTCTAAAAATAGCTTTATTTAGACCAATTAAGTATTTTATTGTAAAGCAACTTGAAATTTGGGGCACATTATATAAAAATCATAATTCTGTTAAAAATTCCACATAATGTTTCCTCAAATATTGACTCTTTTTAAATCTTAAACCACTGGATATTTATAATAACTTATTATGACATAAATTTTACTTCATGAGATGCATGAAGTATTATGCTGAGAGAATAAGAAAAAAAGTAAGATAAGAGTAATAAAATATGATATCAAAGGGCAATAAAATGTAGGAACTGCACAAAGTACTTATTTTCAATACTATTTCATGTGCTCCTGAAATGTTGTATATGTGCATTGTGATTAGTGGTTATAATAAGTAATTCTCCAGCTAACATCCATACTAGTAAAATCTGAAAGTATTTTTTTGAATTTTCATGGGTTTTTTTCTGAATTTTCTGGTTTTTTTACATAATAAAACCACTTCTAAAAGATTTTAATATATCTAAAAGTTTTAATTTATAAAGATTCACATTTCTGATTATTCTCATGAAGTCCTTGAATCAAACTCTGACTTAAGATAAGTCATGCTGAAACTGATCTTCATCCTCTTTTATATCTTAGTCTAACATAATTCTCCAAGGCTCTTCCTTTTGCTGCATATAATGGTTTGCTTTCATTTATTCAAAGTTTGGATTACAAAATCTTGGTTTTAAATGAATGCAGAATGACTGTAACATACACTGTTAGCACAAATATATCAAGTCTAAGTGAACAGTTACCTTCTGAGTGATGTGATTGACCCAAAGTGAGGAACAATTGCTGAGGTCTGGCCCTTGAGGATCCCAATTTCCACCAGGAGCAAGGCAAAGGAACGTTGAAACACCTGCAATTATAATGACAATATCATGCTTGAATTAATATTCAATAAAATAACTTTTTGAAGAAGAGAATTCTTTTCCTCCCAATCCAAGCATTAATTTATATCTTAGAAAAATCTCATCATGATTAAGAAAACAAACATTGTTTGTATTCCTATATTTCTGATACAACTATCAGGGCTGAAAACTCATGGTATCACTGAGACGATGCAAAATAAATTTCCTGGCATAGAATGCTACTTTGAAATCCAGAATTCTACACAGGCTTTGAATTCTTAGAGGCAGCTCCCAAAGCTTGAAAAAAAAGTCAGAGAATTATAGGGTTTAATGTGCCCGAAAGGAGAAATTACTAAATATATGATGGGTGACAGCACCCATTTGATTGAAGCAATACAAGAATCATCGGCCACGCTACCACCCACTTTGTGAGTTCATCAAAACCTGGCACTCCACAAGCAATTCCATCAACAGACAGATCAACCTACACCCAACCTACAAGATAAGATAAGATAACCTTTATTGTCATTTTTTTACTGTGGGCACAACGACACACATCAAAAATGAAATTTAGTTGCCCGCTCTCAAAGTGAAACACATACATGACGCACACCTAAACATACTATGAACAACATATGTATAGACCCACATCCCTACTTATACGTAGCAAATAAATATTAAATACTGTCCATCTTGAATATATAACGGAAGGAGGAAGCTTGAGAGTTCACAAGGTTAATGCTGTATGGAATGAAACTATGGCTGGATGTTCTGCTACGGATACCACGAAGCCTCCTCCCAGAAGGTAACAAGGAAAACAGGTCATGAAGAGGATGTGTAGTGTCCCAGATAATCTTACGGACCCTGCTCAAGCAATGCTTCTGTGCTATGTCCTGGATGGGAGGGAGGGAACTGCCAATGATCTTTTCGGCCATTTTCACCACTCTCTGCCCCGCCTTCCTGTCTGAAGCAGTGATGCTTCCAAACCCCTCAGAATTCAAATAAACTGCACAGCGAACCAGAGACAGCATTGACCTTCAACCAACCAGCACTTCACCTCCCAATGATCCTCACCTGATGTAACTTCCCCATCACAAGACCCACAACAAGACCCTCACTTGACATACTCACACCTGACCCATCACAAGACCCTGATCTGATGGGACCCTCACCTGACATGACCTCACCATCACAAGACCTACTGACCACACGAAGCTCTTATAAATAGAAATACACTGACACTGACATCCCCTAAATTCTGCTGAAGATGTTACCTAGCCTGGTAACAAAACTTTCGGAAACCAACCCACAAATCTCCACCTTCATACAATGGGTGATCTTATGAAAGGCATTCTGAGAAATGAATTTTTATGTAACTTAAATTTAAATGAAACTGAAGCTTTTTTAAAAATATGGTCTCTTGTATGTGATTGAAAGACAAAAGGAGTCCTCTCAATCCACATTATTTTATGACAAGGATAACTTTTAAAAATGTTCCCCCTCATTTAAATACTGTAAATAAAGCCTTAGACCTTCATAGCTGATACACTCTTAAGAAAAACTGCATAGAAGGGACTCTGATCTGTAACAATAAGCCAGAAGCCAACACAGGGATGATTTCCCATAATTGAAATTGTGGGAAAAACAAAATGCAAAATAATTCTGCCAATTCTTTACATTTACGTTAAAATGTTGAGGATTCAAAAATATTTTTTCATGGGAAAAAATTAAATCTTCAAATAGCTATTTAATAACTGCACTAATTACAGTATTTTTAAAAATATAATCACTGACTATTAAAGTAAAGCAAAGGATCTTAATTCTGAATCTTGCTGGTTCATGTATATATTCTGAACATAGGAAAAAATGCTGGGCAAAATAATTTGCCTTCCATCCTCCAGTCTTCCACACATTGTTATGTTAAAACAGGAGCAGCTGTGTTTTAATTCCAATTTACTAATTTGGATCTTAAATGGAAGTACTGTCTCTGATCTTTTAATACCAATCCAATGGAAAAATGTATTTAATATTAATATTATAGCTTGTTAATGAACTAACAAGTTCAACCATATATTTAAGTCACACTGTATTATAAAATATCCTGGTAATATATGAATAGAATAGAGCTGGAAGAGGTCTTCTAGTCCAGCCCCCTACTCAAGCAGGAGGACCTATACCATCTCAGACAGGTGATTGTCCAGTCTGTTCCATTGTTCCACTGGTTTATTGTCCTCACTGTCAGGAAGTTTCTCCTTAATTTCAGGTTGCTTCTCTCTTTGATCAGCTTCCAAACATTGTTTCTCGTCCTTCCCTCTGGTGCTCTGGTGAACAACCTGACCCCCTCTTCTTTGTGGCAGACCCTCAGATATTGGAATACTGCTATCATGTCTCCCCTATTTCTTCTTTACTTTAGATTGGCCAAACCCAAGTTCCGCAGCCGTTTTTCATATGTTTTGGTCTCCAGGCCTTTGATCATCTTAGTTTTTTCCAGACTCTCAACATTTTTGTTGTGACATGGTGACCAAAATTGGCTGCAGTATTCGAGGTGTGGTCTTACTAGGGCTTTATAAAGAGAAGCGAGCACTCCGTAAAGCCAGAGCTGCAAATGCTGAAGCAATAGTGTCCACATTTCTATGTTCAGTATGTGGCAGAACATTCCGTGCTGACATCGATCTCATTAGCCATCTACGGACACACCGCTGATGGCCCATAATCCATAAGAAGTCAAGGTCTTCATCGAAATCGATGGACGAACAACACATAAAGTGGTACTAGTACTTTGTGTGATCTTGATTCTATGCCTCTGTTTATACAACCCAGGATTATATTAGCTTTTTTGGTTGCTGCTGCACACTGCTGGCTCATAGTTAAGTGATCGTCTACCAGGACTCCAAGGTCCCTCTCACAGTTACTGCCTCCAAGCCAGGTTTTGCCCAATCTGTATTTGTTCCTTTGGTTTTTCCTGCCTAAGTGTAAGAGTTTGCTTTTCTCCACATTGAAACTCATTTTGTTGGATAGGGCCCATTGTTCGAGTTTGTCAAGATCTTTTTGGATCCTGAGTTTGTCTTCTGGGGTGTTGGCTACTCCTGACAGTTTGGTGTCATCTGCAAATTTGATGAGTTCCCCTTCAATTCCCTCGTCTAAGTCGTTTATGAAGATATTGAAGAGTACTGGGCCTAAGACGGAACCTTGTGGTACCCCACTACTTATTCTCTCCATGTGGATGTAGTGCCATTCAGGACTGCTTGTTGAGTACGGTTTGTCAGCCAGCTACAGATTCATCTGGTGGTGATGTTATCTATTCCATCTTTTTCTAGATTACCAAGGAGTAGGTTGTGATCTACTTTGTCAAATGCCTTACTGAAATCTAGGTATACTATATCCATTGTGTTTCGCTGGTCTGCTAGTTTAGTCACTTTATTGAAGAATGAGATCAGATTGGTTTGGCATGAACAAACCCGTGCTGGCTGCTAGTTATGACTTTGTTTGTTTCTAGTTGTTCGCAGATCTGTTTTTTTATTATCTTTTCTAGGATCTTCCCAGGTATTGAGGTTAAACTGATTGGCCTGTAGTTTCCTGGGTCTGTTTTTTCCCTTTCTTGAAGATGGGGGCCACATCAGCCCTTTTCCAATCCTTGGGTACTTCCCTGGTGCTCCAGGATTTATGGAAGATGTGGTGCAACGGTTCTGAGATAACATCTGCCAGCTCTTTCAGAACTCTGGGAGGTAATCTGTCTGGTCCTGGTGATTTATATTCGTCAAGATTGGATAGGTGTTCGCTTACCATTTTCTTGCTTATTTTGATTTTTGTTTCTAGTATGTCTTTTGCAGTGTTTTTTTTTGGGTGTGTTGGATTATGGTTTCTTTTCGTGTGAAGACTGATGCAAAGTATAAGTTAAGCAGCTCTGCTTTCTCCATGTTGCCTGTAATTTCCTTGCCATCTTCTCTTTTTAGTGGGCCTACAGTTTCCTTGACTTTTTTCTTGTTATTAATGTGTTGGAAGAAACTTTTTTTTATTGTCCTTGATTTCTGTTGCAAGTCTTTGTTCATTCTGAGCCTTTGCTTTCCTGGCTTCTTCTTTGCATGTTCTGGCTGTCTGCTGATAATCAACCTTAATTACGTGCCCCTCTTTCCATTTTTTGTATTTGTCCTTTTTTGTCTTTCAGTTTGTCAGAGAGATCTTTTTGCAGCCATGCTGGTTTCTTCCTGGATTTCTTGTTTTTCTTTCTCAATGGTATTCTCAATGGTATAAAATGCTACAATGTCATACTATGTAACAAAATTATAAAGCAACCCTTATTAATAGACTGCCTAACTGATATAATACCAGGGCAAATTAAATAATTGCCAACATAAATGTAATTCAAAGGGTAGTCAAAAAAGGGCATCCGGCTTCCGGTTCTGGATCACAGCGCCTTCGGACGCACGAGGAGAGTTCCCTCCCTGACGTCTGGTTTCCTTCCATCAAAAGACCCTGGAAAGGGTCGAAAGTCACCCTGGAGGGGCGACCACCGCTGAGGAGGACCCTCACCTGAGCATGGAAGGGTGGCAGCCCTCCTGCTTGAGCTTATGCAGCTCCTTTGGATCGATGGAAGAAAGATCGGCCATCTTGATGGCCGACCACCTAGCTGCAGCAGCCGAAAGCCAAAAGCACTGAGTGAGACCTTTCCTTATCTCTCTCTTTACCCTAACTACCTTCCTGTGAAAGCTCCTTGAAACTCTCTCCCTGCTCTCAATTCAGCAGTGTTTGCATACTTCGGAATTTAAGCTTTGGAAAGAAAAGAAAAAAATAACTAACTTTAACAACCAGATAACTGGATTTTTGTTTTGTAGATACCTTGGGGCCCCAAAACTTCTTATTATAGAGACTTATCATTTACTTAAACTATCCAAACTATCATTTACCTAAACTATTAATTTTGGAAAATACCTTTTTTCTGCTTTTTTAACCGAAAAATAAAAAAGCTAATTGGCGTTTGAGAAAAGATTTTGTGGTCTGCTGGGGACATCTTGTGGTGAAACCTGGCATAGCAATTGAATTTCTTTTTTTTTCAATTATGCTTGTTGACTCCCTTGATTTGTCCTTCATATTATCCAAAAGATAAGAATTGGGAACAGCTGGCTGGTGGAAAATTTTTTTTTAGAAAGTGTGGAGGTGAACATTGGTTGACTCTTATTAAACATAGCCTCCACTAAAGGACTATCTCTAATCACCATGGAAACAGAGGAACTCTACCCACAACTCAACTATAAACTTATTCTTGAAAAAATTCTTGAAGCTACTGAGCTAATCAAGTCAAAAGTGAAAGCCGAGGATATTTTCATAAAACTACAAATCGAACCCCAGACTCTAGATGATCAACTTACAAGCCAAAAAACAACAGAAGAGGAACAACAACATTCACAACCTATTAAGAATTTTGCTAACCCAACACTGACTTTAACTACAGTATCTATAACTCCAAAAACAACAGGAACCAATCAACAAACATACTACATCGAGAACTTAGACAATTTAGCTAACCAAACAATAACTACAATACTGGATATGACTCTCTACTTTACCCAGACGAAATTGGAAGAAGAACAAGAGGACCAGACTGAACTGATGACAAATATTCCAAACCAAACATGGAGATTTGAATTATTAGGACAACAACCTAACTATTACAAAGGGGCCAGTTCCTTTGAAAAATTGATAACAGGATGTTCTCCCTTGGTTCAAGCAACATGTATGGGAATGAAGGGAGACACATCAGTGGATTCAAAGGCACTGGTATGGAAACCTGCTTGGCACAAAAAGAAAGCCAGAGTTAGATTTAAAAATGGGATTTAAAAATTCACTTAATGGGCTAAGTAGCTTTTTGGAGTGATTGGTTTAATATCTAGGATTAAGATTTATAAGGGAAATTAAAATTAATTGTTAGATTATAGTTTTGATTGTTAGATGGAAATACATTTGTGATAATGGAAGATATTTTGTTAGTAAATGAAATAGAATATATTTGTGAACAAAGTAAGAAGGTAAATTTTGGAACAACATGTCTATTTTAGTTATGTTAAGTATTTTATAATGAAATGAGGGAAATTAAGGTTATCCGAAACTTAAATATTGGTTATAAAAGGCCAAATTGAAACATGGCAAATGGAATTAAGTAAAACTTAAAAACAGGACCTGGATATGTATAAGTAAAATGTCATTGATAAATGTATGGATTGATTGAGCATTAGTTAGAAATGTATTAATATGAACATGATATAATATTTAAGGGAACTAGAGAGGGAATTTCTATTGATGTAACCTGAGATACACATGAATGATTTTGCTTTTGGACTATTGATTACTCTACCACCACGCTGCTTCCTAAGCACCTGGATGTAAAAATTTGAAAAATTAATAAAACTTGTTTCATATAAAAAAGGGCATCCCCACTGAAAAGGCATTTTTCTTAGCATGTATTAGTGACTTTATTTGTTCTATTTTTTAATTTTTCCAATTTTTCCAAATGCCCACCTCACCAAACAAACAACTTTTAATATAGCTCAGCAATGAATATGCAAATAACATTCCTCTTTATTACTTTGGGAAGCCTCTATTAATATTCAGGCAACTACTTTCTGCACTAATGGAAGCTTTTGTGTCATGAAAATCCATTTTCATTAGCCTGATCCATCAGTACCCTGAACTGAAACAATCTTTCAAATGTAGGCAACAAGCTTATATTAACATCTAGAGGATATTCTTATTTCACAGGTCCAAAAAAAGCACCTTGGGATGTTCCACAGTAAATATTACTAGAAAATGTTGCACTCTTTGAGATACTTGAAAGGCTCTGTGATAGTTGCCATAGCCAAGTTCTACTGACTGCATCTAAAATAAGAAAATAACTAAAAAACACCTGGAGTTCTTGTTTATGGTCATCAAGACATGGTCTAACTCTAAGTTAAGGATTAAGTTCTTTCTTTTTAAAAAAATCAAAATCACTCGTATTTTTAGTGAAGCTTTTAATCTTTAAATGTTCTTTTAGCTGAAATTGTCTTACACTCACTCTCTGTTATTCATTTTAATCCTTTAGTTTTATCCTGAGGCCTACTACTGAGTGAAGCTTTTTATCTACATTTTCTTACATCTTTGGGCATACTGTTATATTTGCTTTGTACTGCTTCAGGAGTGCAATAAAAATTGATTTAATTTGATTCACGGACCTTGGGCTGGCATTCCATGTAGTATCCTGCCAATTTCAGCGAGAAAGTTAGGGAGCTTGTTAGGATCTGTATCAAAAGCCAGGTGGGTGACTTTGGAACAGTCCTCTCTCTTAGTCTAAATCACCTCACAGGGTTGTCACGGTGACAAAAATAGGAGGAGGAAGGAGTATTATATATGTTCACTGCCTTCAGTTATTTATAAACTAATAAAAGCAGGATAAAAATCTAATAAATAAATAAGAGGGGACATTTTGAAGTTTCCCTTTTCTTTCCATCTTACCATCTCACATGGAAATTAGGATTTCTGCAAGAAAACAGATCAAAGCAGAGGAAATTCTCTTAAATCATTCCAGAATCCAGGGGTCTAAGTGGGCTAATCATTGTTAAAAAGGTGATTAATAAACAAAAGCCTTTTGATACTAATGTTTTTTTTTAATTCCACACAGATCATTTTGCAAAAAGACAGAATAGAATTCTGAAGTGTAGTGACTGGGCAAATATTTAAATATTATAGTTGTATTATCCAATACTATGTTAGAATAACAGAATAGAATAACAGAGTTGGAAGGGACCTTGGAGATCTTCTAGTCCAACCCCTTGCTCAGGCAGGAAATCCTATACCATTTCAGACAAGATTGTCCAATCTCTTTTTAAAAACTTCCAGTGTTGGAGCATTCACAACTTCTGGAGGCAGGTTGTTCCACTGATTAATTGTTCTAACTGTCAGGAAATTTCTCCTTAGTTCTAGGTTGCTTGTTTCCTTGATTAGTTTCCATCCGTTGCTTCTTGTCCTGCCTTCAGGGGCTTTGGAGAATAGCTTGACTCCCTCTTAGTTGTGGCAGCCCCTGAGATATTGGAACACTGCTATCATGTCACTCCTAGTCCTTCTTTTCATTAAACTAGACATACTCAATTCCAGCAACCGTTCCTTATATGTTTTAGCCTCCAGTCCCGTGATCATCTTTTTTGCTCTTCTCTGCACTCTTTCTAGAAGGTGCAGAAGGTGAAGGTGAAGAAGGTGAAGGACCAGCCAAACTTTGAGACCTTTGAAAACTTTCTTTTTTGTTTAATATTAAGTTACCACCTTTAAAGCGCTTCATGGCATAGGACCCGGTTACCTCCGAGACCGCCTTCTGCCGCAGATTCCTTCCCACAGACCGGTACGCTCCCACAGAGTGGGTCTCCTCAGGGTGCCGTCGGCCAAGCAGTGCCGGCTGGCGACCCCCAGGGGGAGGGCCTTCTCTGTGGGTGCCCCCACCCTCTGGAACGAACTANCTGACCTAGGGTGGATTTTATACTGGGTTTTTTAGGAATTTGGAAGACACAACTTTAAATTTGGTTTAATTCGGTTTTAAGGGGGGGATTGTATATATGTTTTGGTTTTAAGTATGTTGTGCGCCGCCCTGAGTCCCGCCGGGAGAAGGGCGGCATATAAATTAAATTAAATAAATAAATAAATAAATAAATAAATAAAGTAACTCCTGCTTAAACATTTTAACAGAGCAAAGAAATAGCATTGGGCTAGGGCAGTGATGGCAAACCTTTTAGAGACCGAGTGCCCAAAAACCGCTCTACCCGCCCCCGCCCCTGGCCCACCTTCTCCACCCCCAACCTCCCCGCCCTGCCCACCCGTAGGGCCACCCACCACCTCCATGGCCCACCACAGATCATCAAGGCGGCCAGGACCATGCCCTCCACCCATGCCCCGCAGCATCATCTGCACACAATGGGGTATGAGGGCAAAGTCTTGTCCCTGCTGCCCGGCTGTCATGTCCTTGGCTCCGCTGCTACGTGTGGGACGCACCCAGGGGCACCTCTCCTCCAGGGAGGCTGCTGTTGAGGAGGGGGCCATGGGGGGAGGCGGGGCTGGGGTGACGGCACGCGTGCCCACAGAGAGGGTTCTGAGTGCTGCCTCTGGCACGCGTGCCATAGGTTCACCACCACTGGGCTAAGGCTTACCTACAGTGCCTTTTGGGCATGGCTGCTTAGCCATCTGTCCTTGTCGGGTCTTGAACCACATGATCTCACGAGCTTCCACAGTTTCACAACTCTCTGCACCAACTGCAGGCAGCTGGGAAGAGGCAGGTGGCAGATGTGTTGTCATTTCATTTGGACTATCCAAAGCTGGAGAAAGTGTAGTTGTGCTTCTGTTCCTTCTACCCAAGGCTGATGCAGTGGTTGTGTGTACAGTACTGCTTGTAATAGCTCTGTTTGTTGTGCCTGTGGTAGTCCCACCCAGGCCTATTCCTCCAGCTGTTGATGCTATCAATTCAAAGCAAAAACAAGTTAGTGGCAATTCCTATGTTTTTTGTTCCTCTTCCTAAGCATGAAATGTTCTGCTTGAGTTGAGAATATATGAATAATTCTTTAGGGAATCTAAGGAAATTAAATTACCAGAAAAAATTAAATCCAACTTAATAGAATAGAGAAAAAATAATGTTACAATAATGTTAAGATAAGCACACCTACTTGACATTCGGTAGGAATACAGTTACATTCAAATTATAATTGTACATTTGTGGTAAAACAACTGGGGTAATTCTGGACTATTTTATCATTGCATACAAGTTATTTTTAAAATCTCACAGTCTGCCTCCTGAAATTGTGATGTTCCATCTTTGGAGTTTTCAAGAAAAGACTGAATTGCTGTTTGCTCAGGGTGGCATGAGGACTAGTCTAGATGACCTCCACTGTCCCTTCCAACTCTGTGATTCTATGGTTCTATAATCAATACTTGAAACGTGTGATGAAGCTAAATTATTTTTAGACTACTCTGTTTTTTTCTTTCTGAACCCAAAGGAATGAATTTATCTTGAAACAAAGTTTTCAATATTTATTGAAATTAGTAAGAGAGTGAAGAAGAGCAAACAGATGATCAGCAATGGAATCCAACAGGAAAAAAAGACAAGGGGGTGACGGAACCTAATTTCCTTAATAGCTACTGATTACAAGGAATGTATCTTAATTCCCATTGTTGGGAGAACTGAATGACTGCTCCCTGCTAAATGAGTTAAGCCTGCTACAGGGAGTCCAGGAGAAATATAAAGCAGCTAATTTTCCAAGAAATGGCAGGGAAGATTGAGTTCTGGTGTAAAAATTCAGTAACAGGAAGTGCCTAATGAACTTTTCCTCAAATTGAATATTGCTTCATTAACCTGAAAGTAGTGATTTAATAAACAAAAGTGAAGATAAATAGACAGTACTTTGCAGTCAAAACTTACAAAACCTGAGAGATGGTTGAGTTCCTCCATGAAATAAATGTAAAAATAAATAATGCTTGGGCAAAAGCTCAGAATTAAGGAAGGAAAATAAAACTGTATTAGATCAATAAAGGAGGACAAATAAAGGAAAGAGAAATAAAGGAAGACAAAACTGTCTTTTTTATAAAGGAAGACAAAACTGTATTCGATCAAAAAAAGGGGGTGCCATATCAGAACCAGAAGATGCCAATAAAGAAGAGAATCAACCAAAGAAGCATGCCTAATGGACAACACTGACAACCAAAAACAGATGATGAGAGAAACAGGGAAAAAGAACTATTGAACAGGAGTGTGGGTTGCCAAAGGGCAGGGGGAATGTAGCTGTACCATGCAAGATTAAAAGTTATGGTAACTCACTGTTATTAGGAATAGAAACTAAGGTATGCAAACTAGATTAACTGGCTATTAAAGGGTGCTGTATGCTAAGACAGAAAATTAAAATGATGAGAGAACTATCAAAATGTATCAAGTTATTGACAGTTATGTATTTATTAACTTTATTTATTTATATTTGGTTATCCCTTCTTGTTCTTATCCATCCTCCTAGAATGGTGTGCATGATCCAATGCTTTGTCAAAATGGTAAAAACAGGGTTGCACCACTGCAATGCTACCTCTGCCTCTGTTATGTGTGAATCATGATATTGTACACAAAAATGAAAGAAGAGCCTACATATAGAGGTAGGAGAACTGAGAAAAGGCTAAAAGATACCTTCCACTGACATATTTTTTTGAAAGAAGAGGTTCTTGGTCTTTGGAACTATTGTACCTTCCAACTTCTCTAGAGAATGGATTGTGGGCTTGACTGCACTGGCAAACATTTATTTCACTGAAGCATGGTAAAACTTATCACAACAGCTTTAAATTGAATCTTATGATGGTTGGAGACAAAACTGTCTAATGGAAGGATCTCAGATAAAGACATATGTAAGTAGTCCTCTACTTATGACTACTCATTTAGCATCTGTTTGAAGTTATGATGGTGCTGAACAACCTGTGCCTGAAGTTACAGCTGTTGCAATACCCCTATGGTCACATGATTTGACTTACAACCGCAGGGGCATTCAACTCTCCACATCCACCTTCCACCCCCATCTCTGCCCTTCTGGGTGCCCTTCCTTCTGCAACATAATAACCCTGTTGCCCTCAGGACCACCCCTGCTCCAGATAACCTTTGTGTTTTTCCTCCTGCTGGGTGGCCTGGGATCCAGGCACTGGGTGAGGGGACAGCACTGGGATGCACATGGTGAGGGCGCAGAGAGCTGCTGGCACTTTCTTGAGTGGAAGATGCTATGTGGGTGGAGGAAAAACTGGAGGAAGTGGAGGGGCATGGCCTTCCAAGAGGTGCAGTGCACACTCTGCAGCTGATGTTGCAAACACTCTTTGAAAATGGGCCTGAAGGCTTTAATGAGGGGTGGAGGAAATCCCAACATTGACAGAATCTACCCATTCTTGGCCCAGTCTTCTTTCTGCAAAGCAGGCAAAATTCCAGAGGTGGGCATGCAGAATACTCTAACCAATCACAAGGAAAATGGCATGTGACACTATCCAATCAAGCAGATGTACATGTGAACTTTCTCCAATCTCATTGCTTATTAATCCACATGGGAGTGACCAGTGCATAAGTGTTCAAGTTGGGCAATGCAGAGAAGAAAGCAGTTTGTTTGCCAAATGTAAAATCTCTGCATCAGCCTGCACCCTCTTTTGTGTTTTGTACCTTTCCTTATTCCCTCAGGTAAAAGTTCTGTCTTTTACCAACTACTGTAGCTAAACACCAACTACTGTAGCTAAACTAAAGAAATCCCCAGCAATGCAGCAGAGGCAGCACTAGCCGACAGGGAGGAAGGAGTGGCATAGTTGTAAGCTTTTAAGTCTTGATTGGGATGTGGGGGCACCTGCTGCCTTAGCCGGCAATGCTTGTGACTCAGGGACCCATCTGCCATTACCAATGTCCTGAAGGGCCACTGGCCCCAGATACCCTGCAAGAAGACTTTGTCTGCTTAGCTATCCCAATATCCACAATGATGCCCACGCACTGCCACACGTGCTGAGCCATAATTATTTTCCCCTGGAGGAGGGGGATAAGGTGGGTATGGGGAGTTGAAGTGAAGGCGAGTGTGGCAGCACAGAAGAAGCGTGTGGTAAGAAGAGAAATGGGAAAGGGAAAAAAAGTATGAGGCTGCTTAATGGAAAACTACTCAAACTCCAGTTTGATTTGATGTTCTTCAACAAGAAAATATGTCTTTCACTAGGCAATTGTGAAGAGCAGAATACAGAGGCATGATTGAAGCTTGGGAATAACAGAAGCAGAATCAGCAAATTGAACTAACCCTGGATGAGTTTTAAAATTTAGAGCCAGATGAATTGCTGATATGGTATTGTGGGAACTTGCTGATGGTCTGGCTGAAATTTTATTACTATATCTTTGATGAATCCTAAACAAAAGCTGATGTGTCAGATGGGAGGAATGCAAATATTTTGCTTGTCCTCAAAATTGGGGAAACAGGGACACAGGAAAATACAGTCAGGCGTCTATACACAATCATGATGATCAGCAAAACACATTGAAACCAAGCAATAACCAGAATCCAGTATGCATTTGTTAAGAACAAGTCACATTGGATTAACACTGTCCCTGACAAGGAAACAAATTACGTGTAAGTAGATGTACAACTGGTTCAAAAATGTTATGTAAAGCATATTCAACTCATGAAACTGTATGAGGAATTGATACTTCTCTTAAGAAAGAGTTCCACAAGCGGAGCATTTTCAGAGGGAGCAATGAGTATAATCAGGAGACCTGAAACTAGATCCTAAGTTGAAGGAAGGAAGATTTAAGCAATATTAATTTTGAAAAGTTAAAACTGAGACAATATGTTAGAATACTTCAAAATATCTTAAATATCCAAATAGGAGAAAACTAAGAAAAACATTTACAGGTTTTGTTTAAAAATAATTATAGTTGTTTGATAGTGGTATTAATAAATCAAAGAGGTTATGGGTTTCCTACAGTGGAATGCAATCAATCAGAGACTGGAAGCTATATTTTGTGAGTGTTCTGATTTGGATTATGGCATGCAAATAGAAGATTGTATGAGCTCTTCAAACATATGATTCTTAGGTAAATTTGCAACGTTTCTTCACTATGTTTTACTGCAGGGGTGTCAAATTGCCGGCCTGCGGGCCGGACGCGTCATCCGGAAGCCGCGCCCACCCCATTGCTGGCAATGGCAAAACCATCCCGATATGTCGCGCGACATCACGTGATGTCGCAAGTTTGACATGTCTGTACTGTAAGAAAACTATTCCTTTGTACAATGAAATTTCAGTTATAGAAAGCCAGATTCTGTTAGGGGAAAATATAACAGTCACTTAGTAGCAGAAATAATTACTCTGGTTATTAGCCTTCACTGGAATGCCTTTAAGTAGAGGCTATTGTGAATGTTTAAATTGTATTCCTGCATGGAATGGGAAACTGGATTTTTCCTTTATTGCTTTCTTGTCTGGGCTTGAAGGAATGATGGTACTAAAGGAAAAAGCAATTTCTTCATGTCCTCTTCCAATGCTGGACACTCAGTTTCCTTTCTTTTTTTAAATAAAACATTATGCAGCACAGAAAAATGTGGGCATTCCACAAATATTATTGCCAGAAATTTCTAATCGTGTGTGTGTGTGTGTGTGTGTGTGTGTGTGTGTGTGTGTGTGTGCCTTCAAATCAGTTTTTGATTTCTGGCAAATACCTGGACATGTCCCTGCAGTCATCTTGCTGTTGCCTATCTCCCAGGCTGAGGGAATGTGAGTCACTCCAAGGTTACCCAGCTGGCTTTGTGCCTAATGCAGGACTAGAACTCACAGTTTCACAGTTTCTAGCCTTAATCATCGCTGGCTCTCTTTTCTAATCATGAGCCTATATGCATGCTTGTGACCCTCACTAAAAGGGCAGGTTGCAGATTAAAAAGAGCCTACTAGCTTGCCCACACCCAGGCAGGCAAATGAATAGCCCTCTGGGAAAATAGTTAGTTGTGACATGGAGTTAAATTAATTACTGAATAGTGCTGCCTCCAATAGTCACACTTGCTGTTTCTTTTAGCAGAAATTACTGCTCCCCAAAAGCACTCTGCTCTTGTTTTGCTCATCCCGAAATCTTCTACAAGGAGGAGACATGGGGTTTTCTTACCATATAAGGAAAGGATAAAAGTCACTGTAGTATAGAGAAAAGCATATCTCCCTATGGATAGTCTTTCACTGAGACATTCCCAGAGACAGAAAGCAAAGAGAAAGTAGTCACCAAAGTTACAAAAGAGAAGCATAAAAATGGGATAGAGGAACAGGAAAAGAAGTGACCAAATTCAGGCCCAAGTGAAACATTTTGTGAGAAGGGAATGGCAGACTGAGCTGTGAACTGGACATTTTTATATTATGCAGATGATGTACAGTTCTTGTTATCCTTCCTTCCTTCCTCCCTCCCTCCCAATGTCAAAATATTTTTGTCTGGAGAACAACTTCCCCTCTCTGTTTCCTTTTCCTTTTACATATTTTTATCAACTGATTGAGTGACATAAGACTTTATTGTTATATAGCCACCGGCAATAAGAAAAGAAGGATATCATTTTAACATGTCACTCTATGAAATTAGTTTATACTCAGAGCAGGCAATCTGATGTCTTCTAGATGGTCTAAATCTCCCAGAATGTCATGTCATTGGCCATATTTCTTGGAGTAATAAAAGTTGAAGTACAAAACATTTAGTACAAAACTTTTTTATATGACCTTGGTATAAAATAATAATTAAGATAGCACACAATATTAAACAGCATGAAAGGATCAAGAACATTGATCTGTAGATTTGGATTATTCTTCATCCTTAAACTATCAAAGATATAGTCCAAGAATGTTTGCTAAAGGCAAACGTATGTTAAAGTGTAGTGTAGTCTAGCCACAGTCATGCTTAAACACACTGAACCAGAAAGTTTTATCTCCTCTATTTGTTATTATCTTATGCTTTTAAACCTGTTATAATTAGTCTAATTTTTACTTAATGTATCTTAAGCGATAGAGGAATTCATTATTGAGAAAATAATATATAAATATGATATAAATTGCCTTTGATGGTTCTCTTAATTCCATTGGGGAGTGTTTTAAATATTTTCAGGAAAAAAAATAAAATTAAATAAATTTCTTTTCAAGAATAATTAGCTTTTAAAGTAACTTTACAGTATCTAAAATGGTTTACCTATCATTTTGACAAGTCAAATAAAAATGGTAAATTAGAAAGGCAAGAGAAAATTTTTCTGTACTATTGCCCTTTTTTTAAAAAAAAATTCTGAAATGGACAAACACTTTGATGGTAAAGCTTTGATCCGGAGTAACCAAGAGCTTCAATGTAAGACACCGAAGAAGGAGCTATACTTTTTAAAGAAGCTCTTTAGGTTATAGTCTTATAAGAATACTGGAAAGGTGAGACTGAAAAAGAGTAAATGCATATACAAAAGGGGTAGGGCTTGCATCCCAAGGGGTATGGGTATGGGTAGGGCTTTCAATCTGCCTTTCACATCTGCTGTGGTGAATCCTTAAGAAGAATGCAGAAATGAACCCGATTCTTAAAAGGAAGACAGAAGCTCCATTGGCCCAAGTGAAATACCTCTGACTGTAAGGATATGCGATAGATACTATTGGATTTTTTTCTTGAAGGCACTAAAAGAATTAAATAGTAATAGAACCCATAAGAATAGTTCCATAAGAGTGTAATACCAATGGGCTGTAAGAGGTTTTTTTTTAGCTTTGGGGAACTGTCATCTAAATGCAGAAAAAGATAGGAAGGAGATTTGATCTGGTCCATGAAGAAATTACTGAGTGATGTAGTGATAATACACATTTATTCTGAAATATAAAGTTTATTTGTTTTTAATATTTGTCTTACGTAGTCTCCATTGATCCAAGACCTCCGAAACAGAGATGAGCATCGCCCCCTATCAAATCCTCATAAAGGTGGTTGTCTGCCTGCCTCTGAACCAAGCTTGTGTTTATCTTTTCTTCTAATGTAGCTTCTACTAAGACAATATAGTTTTTCATTGCCCAAACTCAACCTGATGCTTAAATACATTCCCAACATAAAGTTAGGAATGTAGCTAGGAATGTATGTGTTTTAAAGGACAAATCCCAATTAATTTCATTCTCATTTTAAACATTCAAGAATCTTTGGTATTAATTTCTTTCTTTGAAGCTCCACTATAAATGGTTGCCCAGTCAATAATGAAAGAAAACCCTCAGCTGTTCTGGAAATTTGTTCCACAAACTGTTCTTATGGTTAAGAAGACCTTCCCCACTTCCTCTCCTGTCCAATTTTCAATAAGAAACTTTATTTCTGAAATTTTTCATCTCTTTCATTCCTTAAAATCAAAAATAATTTTTGGCTACTTTCTGTGTGACATATTTGAGTTTTTACAATCATATCTGCCCCTCAGTTCTATTTTCAGTAATAAACATTCCAAGTAGCTTAAATCTCTCAATGGAATATTTATTTTTCAATCCCTGATTGTTCTCATTGCCCTTCTTGAACCTGTTTCAACTTCTCTGAATCCTTCTCACTGAGTACTTTGACCACCATAGAAGGAAAATGCACCATTTTTTCATGATTTGAAAACTATATTTCTGTTAATTCCAATCCATATTGTATTTGATCAGTTTGTAGCCATCAATATGCTACTGATTCATATTTGATTTGTAACAGCTACTATTTCAAATTCTTTCTCACAAGAAAAAGACCCAAGCCAAATTTACGTCATCTCTTGTTAAATTTCATCCTGTTATTTCTCAGGCAATTTCTCTAACACATCAAGATGGATTTTTTTTTTAAGTTTGGTGAGTAGCTATGTCACCCAATTTTAGACAATCTACAGAGCTGGTAAATATTCACACCATCTTTTCATCCATCTCATTAATAAAAATTGTTGAAGAATACAGGACAAATATTGAATCTTTTGACCTTCTATACAATACTTTCCCCAAATTGGTAAAAGTTCTGAGTTGACTTTCAAGCCTCCTATGTATTGACTTATGTCATTTAGCCTACATTTAATTAGAATGTTCACTGTATCAACCACTTTGTTACAAAGAAGATATATTTATATCCTATGTGCCTTCCCAGAATCTCCAAAGAAGATATCTGATAAAAATAAGAAATAAGATTTATTTGGCAATTTTTGTTCTCTAGAATTACATATTTACTTTTAGTAATTATCATATTATTTTAAAAGTGCTGTTTGGATCTAGAATTTTCCTGAGTAATAATGACAGTTTGAGTGGTCTTTAATTATCTGGATTCTCTCCCCACTTTTTTTATTTTGGAAGATATGACATTTATCTATTCTATCAGATTAATACATAAAGGTTTATCCAGATCAGTAGCAAATTACAGAAGATAAACATTCAGCCAAACCATCTGCCAGAGCATCCCTTTAAAGCTGAAGACAGTAGAGTTAATTTCCACTGTTAAAATATTTGATATAAATGCATAGTAGCACTATATATTGCTACTGAAATAAAAGATAAAAATTTGAATTCTTAAACTGGAAAGTAATTGAAAATATGGATACTTCTGTTCACCCACTAGACTACCGCCTAAATTTTATTTATTTTTATTTATTTTATTTTACAAAATTTATATGCCGCCCTTCTCCCCATGGGACTCAGGGCGGCTCACAGCATGTTAAAACAATATACAAAATTACCCCTTCTAAAAACCAATTAAAATCCAAATATTAGTGGCTGTGACTATTTAAAATCATTAAAAATTATCCCTATTTAAAATTCACCCTAGGTCAGGCCCGCTTGT